TGCATGGGAGGAGCGTTAAAGATAACACTCTATCACAAAGGGCCCCAAGATTGACCAAGTAGGCAAGAAAATGCATTGAAACTGCAAGTGTTTGTTTTGGTGTTTGTTTGTTGCTATTGTTTTTAGATTTTTTTTAATTGATTTTTTAAAGAGAGAGAGAGCAGGGAGAGGGAAAGAGAGAGAAATGTCAATGTGAGAGTAGACCATCCATCGGCTGCCTCCTGCACACCCCCTCCTGGGGATCCCACCAGCAATCTAGGTCTGTGCCTGACTGGGAACAGAACCAGCAACCTTTTGGTGCATGGGACAACGCCCAACCAACTGAGCCACACCAGCCAGGGCAAACCTGCATGTGGTTTTCACCATGTTTGGCTCTCAAGTCAATTCCTGTTCTTAGTGTTTTTCTCTTGGCTGCCCTTCGAGGGTGAAGGCAGGGAAGCAAAGAGCATGAAGCAGGAATTCAGAGGGGAAGTCCACCATCCCAAACGGCTGTCTCGGTCACATCCTGGCCTGTTGGTAATGTGGCCCGGGGCGTGCTTGTGGTTGGTTTCGTCCCCTGAAACTAAAACACCTCCAGGAGAGGAACAGGCCCAGGAGAGCCTCCCGCTGCCTGGGCTGGAAAAGCGAAGGCCGCACATGTTCCCTGGCGTGGGTGGGCTGACACTGCTCTTCCCATCAAAACTGTTTGGCTCTGTGGAAGTGACGTGCGTTAGCTTCCCGGGGCTGCCATCACACCGTGCCGCACACCGGGTGGGTTAAAACAACAGAAGTGGATTGTCTCACCGTCCCAGAGGCCAGAAGTGTGAAATCAGGGTATCGGCAGGGTCATGATCCTTCTGCAGACCTGGGCATGTCATTCTCCTGGTGGCCTCGGGTGTTCCTGGTCTTGTAGATGCTCCAATCCAATCCCACCCTCTCGTGGTGTCCCCCCTGCGTCTTCCTTCTGTATGTGTCTGTGTCCACATTTCCCCTTTTCAGAAAGATACCAAACCTATTGGATGGGTCCCAACCCACTACTCCAGCATGACCTCATTAACTAAGTATATCCGTAATGATCTTATTCACAAATAAGATCACGTTCTGAGGTCCTGGGGGTTAGGACTTCACCATCTTTTTTGGTGGGGACACAATTCAACTCATGAGAGCAGCCTTCTCTAGTTTATGATCAAGGAGTCAGGATATGAAAGCAACATTCCCCAAAAAATTACAGACCGAGAACTCCTTGTCCCGGGCACTCCTTCACTAGAAATGATACATTCAGATGGACCCCAGTGCAGGCAGCTCGGCAGATCGCTGGCCTGGATCTGCCTCTCCTCCACACACACACCCGCCCTCTCCCCCCCAGGTGCTCCTCCTCCAAGAGCCCCGACACTGGGCATGCGTCCCAGCCCCCAAGCAGTCCGCCCCGGGCATGAGTATGCAACAAAGCTGGTTATGAAACTAGTGAACCCCATCTAAGTAGAAGTAAAACTTCTCTTCAGTGAAGGGAAAAGCCATGCTTATGACCAAATCTCAACCCTGAAAAAGTATCCTATCAAATCATTACCCATCTCCCCAAATCTCCGCAAAGAAACATTCAAGCTAGAATACTTGCAGAGAAACACACACACACACACACACACACACACACACACACACGCAAACACATCTCATTTGCCCCTGCCGTTGCTTCAGAAAGTTGGAGAGTGCAGAGATCATTACAAAAAGGCTCCCTCACTGGTGACTTCTAACATATTATTTCTGCGTTAGTATTATCAGGCTGGTAACCCAAAGACAAATGCCGAACAAGAAACTGATCGCATTTCCCAATCTTATTTGCAAACAAGCGTTCATTTCCTGCTTATCAAGGCCCAGTGCGGGTACTTTGTCCATTCGAATCATTGTCTCAAGCCAGTGATGCAAACCACTGAGCCAGGTCCGCCCCAGCCAGCGCCGGGACGCTCGATGTCATTGAACTCAAGGAGCAGATAATTAGTATTGAAAGGTGTGATTGCAGCCCAGCCGGCCAGGTAATCAGCCCCTGATTTCTCCTCGGGATTCTAGACCCGCTGGAAATCTTAGCCCCAGAGGAGGCTGGAGGGAATTATCCTGGAAGTGTAGTATCCCTTTTCAAATATAAACACTGGACAATTAGCCCGGCCAGTTAGCCCTTCCTCGCTCAGCGCCCTGCATCCCAGGCCCTGAACAGAGGGGGCCGGCATTTCCCGGACAGGCCTGCCCCCCAGCCTCCCCTCCCCGGACTCTCCCACCAGCTCGCATCTTCCAAGACTGTCGCAACCCCGGGCTGGCTCAGCCGATGGAGCCTCTTCATCCTGGTGGCGCTTGTTTTGCAAACATTAGGCTGCTCGGTGAGAACCTGCCTCAACCTGAGGCCTGAGCACCCTCTTGGCTGCGACAGCAGCGGCTTCCTGAGAAGGGCTGGTCTCTTCTCCCACTCAGCCCTGATGACACGGAGGTGATACACTCCAAGGTGTATTTCTTGCTCTGCCTTCCAAGAGGGGGTGTCAGCTCCCAAAAGTCGACAGCCCCCTTTGACATAAAGTGTGGCTAACTGTTAAAATGGGCATCCAGCCCTCGCCGGCTTGGCTCAGTGGATAGAGCGTTGGCCTGCGGATCCAAGGGTCCCAGGTTCGATTCTGGTCAAGGGCATGTACCTTGGTGACAGGCTCCTCCCCGGGCCGGGCCCTGGGTCAGGGCTTGTGCAGGAGGCAACCAGTTGATGTGTTTCTCTGACATGGATGTTTCTCTCTGTCTCTCCCTCTCTCTTCCACTCTCCCTAAAAATCAATGGGAAAATACCCTCAGGTGAGGATTAACAACAACAAAAAGGGACATCCACATAAAAACACAACATTCAGGCACTTTGGTTAAACATCAAGGCAGGGCTCCCGTGTCCCTGTGGCCGTAGTGACCCCTCCTCCAGGGGCCAGGACACCCCCTGACAAGGAAGATGCACGTGGAGATATAGCTGCCTCTATGTGAAAGGGGGCTTCCTCCCTCTGACAGCGCTTTGCTTTGCTTCAACCCAGCGGTTCTCAACCTGTGGGTCACAACCCCTTTGGCGGTCGAACGACCCTTTCACAGGGGGCGCCTAAGACCATCCTGCATACCAGATATTTACATGATGATTCATAACAGTAGCAACATGACAGCTATGAGGTAGCAATGAAAATAATTTTATGGTTGTGTCACAACATGAGGAACTGTATTTAAAGGGCCAGAAGGTTGAGAATCACTGCTTTAACCAAACTCGCCATGGCTCACATAGTTAGATAGCAACATCAACACACGTGTCCATGACGTGCTGACGCTCCCAGGCTCCAGCGGAGGCTTAGCAGTGGCTCCCTGCCCTGGTCTGGGAGGGAGAGCCCAGCGTATAAACAAAGTTGCACGCAAGACTCAAGGTATCATCACCATGTCACGTTCAGGCTCCCGCCAACCTCGCAGCAGACACATACCTCTGCAGTATGTAACATGGTGATCAGCGACATTTAGAAAAAAGGGGGCTTTTTGTTTCTTGGAACCCATCCTTCCATCCCGGGGCAGATGCTCTCTGGATCCAGCCAATCGACTCCCAGGGCCAACCCCCCAGAAATGGGGTTCAGAGCGTCTGGCCCCAACGGCTCCCTCCTGCCTCTAGAAAATGCTGAGGTTACGTTTGGGGTCACTGGGCAAAGGCCCCCGTGCCTTCTGCGAAGGCTCCTCTTGCTTCCATCATGCTATATGTTTCCCATAATTTTATTAAGGACATTTCAAATATCCAGAACATCTGCAAGGGTCACACGGTAACAGCCCATGAGGCATATGTTTAAGTGATGACCCTTTCCTGTGGCTCTTAGACTCTTATCTTCTCCTCCAAGCCCCACGTTTCAGAACACCTGTCCCGGGGAACTGGCGGCACGGACAGTGGTTGTTCCAGTGGCTTCCAGGGCTTCTCACCATCCCCTTTCAGGAGTGGGCAGAGCCCAGATGAGGGCTACCCACAGGCCTGGGTCTTGATGCCAACCCTCCCACTTACCAGCTGTGGGGACCTGGACGTGGTATTTCATTGCCCTGAGCCCCTGTTGCCTTCCGATCTCTGATGGGCACAGAGCTGACCTGAGGAACCTGTGCCGAGCACTTATCAAAGGCCAGGAACCCTCCCACCAGCTCAACCACAGGCGAGGGGCCCTCGTGTTGTCATCCGTTGGAGAAAAGCAGGCTGGGAAATCCAGGCCTGCTGCCTGGTGGAACCTGGTGGAGTAAGCAGTGGTGAACAGTGGCTTTTCAATGTGTGACTCAAGGAATATTATTATTACTACTAGAGGCCTGTTGCACAAAGAGATTTCTGCAATAGGCCTTCCTTTCTCCTGGCTGCTGGCACAGGTTTTCCTCCGGCACCCGGGACCCAGGCCGTCGCTCCAGCTGGAGCCACCTTCAGTCTTCCGTCTTTGCTGTTCCGGCCAGAGCCGTCTTCCGTCTTCACTGCTCCGGCTCGCCTTCAGTCTTTCCTCCACTGCTTGGAGCCTACGTATGCAAATTAACTGCCATCTTTGTTGGTGGTTAATTTGCATATCGCGCTGATTAGCCAATGGGAGGTGTAGTGAAGGTATGGTCAATTACCATGTTTGTCTATTATTAGATAGGGTTATTATTATTATTATCAGCAGTAGCTGCAACAATAGTATTTTTAGAGAGGGCACCCATGAGCACCCCATTGTAACGGAGAACATAACCAACAATATGTCATCCTCATTGCTCTGGTTCCTACCCATCACTTATTTACAGCTGAGGCCACAACTTAGGGCCCTAGCACTAAGGATGACACCCCCAAACTGAGGGCCCCTCGAAGAGCTGTTTCCGTATAGCTGGCAAAGACCATGGCTTTGAGTGCTCAGGTTTTAAATTCTGAGTCCTGGTGGGGATGGTTGTGATAAAGAGCTGGGAGAGGTCAGAGTGTCATCTGGGAACCCCTGCGCCATAGCAGACAGATAGACAGACAGAAAGAACTCGGACGCCAGCAGTGGTTAAGGTATGTATTTTATTGGCTGGAAAATCATTCTGTAAAAAGCGATGGGAATGTATCAAAGCTAAACTCCATCCATATGCTCTCCTGTAAACACGGCTGTGACTGTGGGAGCATTCCAGGCTGGCTCATCCCTCGCCTCCAGCTCAGACAGATTTTCCGTAGTGGCTGCCATACAAACCCTACACCCCGAAAGTGCCAGGGTGGGTGCCCCACAGATGAGGAGCGCTTCTCTGTGGCTAGGGTAAGGCATGGGATTCCTTAAAGGCAAAGGGGCTGTCACCTTTCAGCCCAAAAAGCGCTTGGTCACTTCCAACCCTTCCCTCACTCTAAGCTCCTTTGGACTCACTCCTAGCAGACTCCTCCACAAGAGAGCATGTTGGGGGGTCTCTAAGGGAAGCCCCCCAGCCTTGGGAGAGAGAAAAGAAAGAATGAGTACGTGCTGAATTTTGATGAAAAACCACCTTTGAGTAGGAGAGTCATTGCAGCCCAGAGATGGGGTGTAGCTTTTCTGAGGTCACAGAGCAAGTTGATTGGGGGGGGGGGGGGGGGGCGGTGAGAGAACCCAAAGGTTCTGAATCCAGATGTCGCTGTGGGTTAGATCGGTAATAACGTTCCTTGGCCTAAGTCCAGAGACCTCAGAACCAACAAATCCAATCGCAGGATGAGCTCTTTGGAAAACATTGAAAGCGCCCTCATGACACGGTCTTTCTCAGAGGGATGCAGTTTCCGCGACACCCAGACGGACACTGTGGGTGACTCCGAGCCATTCTGCATCCAAGGTTTTCCAACTGAGTCTTCGCCGTTCATAGTGGAGGGAGAGAAGTCTGAGTGTGGGGAGTTGGAGCTAGAGTTTAGGTAAGAGACAAATATCCAAAAAAAAAGAAAGGATGGGCATGTTCAGAAGGAAACGGACCGTGGCCGACCCAACAGCATCCCTCTCTCCCACACGTGGGGTTCCAGGCAGTCCCAGATCGGTGCCCGCACAAATGGGGTTCTTGCTGAAATTGAAGGAGAAGGAGCGAGGGACAGAGACGGGGAAACAAGGTGGCGGGGTCTCTCAGCCACATGCACCCAGGAGAGTTATTTTTAAGAGCTCGCTCTTGGGAAAAGCTAACACCAAGACATCAGTCATATTCATCCTTCCTTGGACCGTGGATGTTGGGCCACCACTGACATGTCACTGTAGAGACACAGTCATGGGTGGAAAAGAAGGCTGTGTTGGGGGGGGGGGGGGCGGCAGCCCTGGCCTGTGGCACACCCACAGGACTCTGGGAAGCCAGGGGTTCTGCACACCAGGCCAGACTCCTCCACTCCACCTTGGGGGTCTGCCAGCTTTCCTGGCTCCCTCCCCACTGTCGAGCCTTCTTGTGAAATGACTGGCACTTCCTGCTTCCCGTCGCACCCCAGCCCCAGATGCGCCACCTCCCCCCGGTCTCCGCCCTCCGGCTTAGTGAACAGGAGCCAAGGGGGCCCTTGAGGACACAGAAGCCCCTGTTGGGATGAGGACAAAAGGAACACATTTCCCCCCACCCCCCGCCCCGTTTCCGAGTTTTCTTGCACCTTTCTCTCCCCCCGACCCATCTCCCCAGTCCCTTACCGTGATTGCTGCTTCCTGGCCCTGATTCAACCCACATTCCTGCTGCTCCGTGTCCGCCTCCCAGCTGCAAGGCCATGGGGATGTTCAGAGAGTTCCAACTCCAAGAACTCCTCATCTCCATAGACCTGTCTGCCCACCTCCCACCTGGCCTCCAGGGAAACAGCCAACATTCCTGCAGTCCCACAGAGAAAGGGTGTGACTGGCATTGCTCAACGAAGCCTCCCAGCCAGCATCTTCTGCCCCAGAACAATAGCGTTGTATTTTTCTTGGACTCCCTCCGTTTTATTTGGTTTCTCCTTTGATTAGCAGAAAAGGGCTCCTCTCCCTCCCCCCTGCGTTCCCTCTGAACCCACCAGCCTGGCTCTGGTGTTCTTCCGGGAGAATTCCAGCCCCCACCCCCGTGTCACGTAAAGCCCTGGGTCCTGAACTTGGGTGACGTCAGGGAGCCTTGCCCCCGGGGCTTTCTCACACATGGGAATCGCCTGTCTCCCGGGAGCCTGCAGCCCATCTCGGATCTGTTGCTCTTGGATGCTGATCCCAGGACGCCAGGCAAGGTGTTAGTCAGACTGACCTTTCCCGTTTTCTGAGTCGTGATCTCAGATCCCTCAGTCGGGCGCTACGTGTTGAAAATGAAAATCCGTGTGTGGGGCCTGTACGAGGGACCCGGGGTGAAAGGGGAAGGTGACACCTCAGCGTTGGTTGAAACAAACAAACAAAGGCCTATGTATCTGCTGTCAAATCCATCCTCACCCAAAGGAATCGTGCTCTTGGGGTGCGAGGCTCACATTCTGACACCTACTGCTTCTCAAGGGGCTGGCGCACGTCTGAGGTCTCCAGGGTGCTTCCGTGCACCCCCAAACAACCAAATCTGGTGGTCAGGGAGTTTTCAGTTCAGCTGTCTGCTGGGCTCCTGAGACAGGTCAGCCCACCAGGGATGTTCCCGGGGTATCTTCCCTCTCACCAGGCGGCGGCCTGTGGGGCCCTCACCAGGCCACCCCCAGCTTCTCTATCAGCCACAGATCTCAGGACAACAGTGCTGATCCCGCCAGCTGTTCGGGTTGGGCTGGCTTCTTCCATTCAGTGCCTGTCAGCATCCCTAGGGTCTGTGGACATTCAGACAAGACGACTTCTCGTTTTTAACGTGAGAAAGGGGGCCTGTTGGGAAGTGTTGTACAGAACGTCACACGACTGTTTCCAGGAACATAGTGGTCGAGTTCTCGGGCTAAGGAACTCCGGAGTTAGAATGATTACCTGAAAGATATAAAGAGACAAAAATTGGCTTTTCATTTTAACCGAACGCCCGGACCATCTGCTTATTCATCGCATTCGTTTCAAAATTCTTCTGTCTCCTGAACCAACTGTGACACCTTCCCTGCCCCCTAAGCCCTTAGTCGGCAAACTGCGGCTCGCGAGCCACATGCGGCTCTTTGGCCCCTTGAGTGTGGCTCTTCCACAAAATACCACCTGTGGGCACGCACGTACAGTGCGACTGAAACTTCGTGGCCCATGCGCAGAAGCCGGTATTTTGTGGAAGAGCCACACTTAAGGGGCCAAAGAGCCGCATGTGGTTCGCGAGCCGCAGTTTGCCGACCACCTAAGCCATTCCAGGGTATGGGATCAAGCCGCGCAGGTGCCATTCCTTTCAACAAATGCTTGCTGAGCATCAGTTATGTGCGAGGCATTTGCTCAAATCAGATAGTAAGGAAAAATAAAACAAACACTAAATCTACTTGGAAACAAACCATAGCACACTCTCTGTTTCCTGCCATCTCGTTTTCAAGAAGAGACAACTGGATTGTAAAAGGAAAGAAATTATCTTCTTTTCTCCAAGAACGGACACACACACACACACACACACACGCCACACCCATAGAAAATAATTGTTTGTCCAGTCAGATTTACACATGCGTCGTGGAGATAAATACATGAGACCTGTCTAAATCTCAACGCCAATGTGCACCGATTTTTTTTTTTTTTTTTTTGAAGGCTCCACAAAGAAAGGAAGAGAGAAGAGGAAAACCGAACAAGAGCCCGGAGGAGTCCGATCCCTTTCGGTGTTGGCAGGTAATTGTTAGCAGAAATGGGCCGTAATAACCAGCCATTTCAGAGGAATGCCAATTCCATCGCATCCCGCCTCAAGAAGACCCACGGCCCGCCTTTGTTCCTGACCTGGGCAGTTTTGAGACAATAACAATACCTTCTTTCAGGAACGGGGGGATCTGAAAGGTAGGACTCCTGCTCCCCCAGATAAGCACTGGCAGGAGAGGTGAGGGCTGGCGAGAGGGAGGCTGGGGTTGGCTCCCCGGGGGTCAGCCAGGAGCCCCGCCAGGGCCAGCCTCTGCAGAGGGAGCGAGGTGAGGGGGCGGCAGGCAGGAAGCGTCTTGCGTTCAGAAACTTAAAAAGGATCTGCACGCTCCTCCCTGTGCCGGGGCAGCCAAGGCCTCCAGGGTGGCAGCCAGCGGAGCCTCTGGGACCGAGACCGGGACCGTCCCTGCCCGCCCTGCCCGCCCTGCAGACCGTCTGTTTGCCGTCTGGGACCGTTTCAGGCAGCTGCTTCCTTCCAAGAGTCTGAGGTTGAGGGTTTGGGTGAGCTTGATGGGCAGCCTTCCTCCCCCTCCCCTTACCTTTTTATTCACAGTTTCCAATACACAAAGCACTTCATGACGGCCATGGAAACCTCCGTGGCCACAGAGTGAGAGACCAGCTGTGACCAGTGGCAGGCAGACCCGGGACGGCCCGGGCGAGCGTCTGATTATGTGGCACGGACGCGTGGCTTTCCCTTTTCCCAGTTGGGTCCCCAGGGTGGCGTTTCTCTGCAAAAGGGCAGACTGACAGGGGCCTGCGCAGGGCGTGGCATGACGGATTCAGGAATGAAGGTGCCCTTGAGCCGGTCACCTGGGGAAGCCGCCCCGCGTGGGGCCAGGCCTCTCGGAGCATTTGTGGGGTGAATGTGCGGGGCGTTTTTAAAGGGCTCCGTGTCAGCCTTAGGAGGCACTGCGTGTTCCCAGAGGCAGGAGACCCGGCGTGTGAATCTACCATTGTTCTCCGTCGATGGGGCTCCCGGCTCCCCTAAGAGCGTCCGGGCTCGGGGAGCGGCCCTAAAACGAGCTACTAACCTAACTGCCCTTTCTCTTTTGAACTCTTCTCTCCCTAGCAATTGCCTTTACCCCACCCCCACCCCTTTTTCATTTTTTCCCAACCTATTATACAAGGGTAATTAATGGGCAAACAAGACTGAGTCCAGCTGAGTTCTAATCTGGCTCAAGAACAGTAGACAGGACATCGGCCTCGTCAGCCACCCCCATGCCCACCCTGTCAGCTTCCTCCTTCTTTCAACCAGCATCCCAGCCCTCTCCCCGCGTGCTGAACACCACTGAGTTGTCACCACTCGGACCAGGTGGCAACCAGAGGACTCTCCTCTTGATTCCTCCCCAAGAGAGCGTGTCTTTCCCCTCCATGGCCCTTCAGTGTCAGGCGACCCATCAGGGGTCTGGGCAGAGGGGGGATGACTCTAAGGGCCCCTAGCCAGCCCCCCATGGGAGGGGCAGACAGTCCCTGATGTCACCAGGCCAGCCCTTCAGCCACAGCCTATGCCACATGCAAGACAGCCACTAGGTCTGATGACACCCAACAGCCCCCTCTTCTCCTTCCCAACTCAGCGTCCTCCCTTGACAGTCTTATATGGAGACTGTCCCTCCCAGATGTGAGTTAACATCGCTCCATAAAACACTGAGTCCAAAGGACATAAGGCAAGGCCAAAAAGAAGTGAGGCAACAGGTAAATAGCTTCCCTCACAGGGGAATACGGATGGTCATGACATAGCCCATTCAGTCTTCTAAGCATCAAGCATCCAAGAGTTGGCAGCCATTGTCTCCTTGTTTCCCTGCTGTTGTTGTCAGTGTTGGTCTTTGCCCCTTAACACCTAGAGTGTGGACAGGTGAATTAACCGATCTAAACCTCAGTTTTCTCATCTGCTCAGTAGGGGGGAAGGATAAGAACAACCGCAGAGGTTTTCTGGGGGAGAGACGGGTGATACACAGAGGCTAAGAGCCCTCTGCAAATTGCCGAGCGCCTAGGCAGGGCTCTGCAAACATTTCTTCTTACTAATAAGCAGCAGAAAAGAAGAGGGAGGGGGTGTCAGCGGAGGGCCCCAAGGACTTCTCCAGGCTGCGGGGGTGGTGACATCCCAGGTCTGGTTGGTAGAACACAGTCATTTTGAAAATCCGGACGTGCCTCAGTCAAGATGTAAAAAGGCTGCCGCATAAGCCAGAGAAGAAAGAAGCCGCCACACACACTAGAGCGAAGTGTGTCCCGGGGAAACCAAGTCTGTCAAGGCACCAGGGCCGCAAACCCAGCGCCGAACCCCGCCGGGCAGACGAGAGGACATGAAACGCAGGGAAGACACGTTGGCCGTGCCTGGTTCAAGTCACGCTCTGTTCTCGGCTCCTCAAGACCCAGGCAACCAAGTCCTGATTAGGAGAGAAGGGAGGCGATAAGATCAGAGACACGCTTCACAAAAGCACGGAGCCCCAGTTTCTCCCCGTGACCCACAAAGGAGCCGGAGCCCAGCCAGAGCGCAGGGAGAACAATGGGAACGTGGGGGAGTGGGCTCGCTGGAGCCAGAGCTCCTGGGGACAGCAGCGGGAGGAGTGCCATGTGCCAGGGCTCACGGGGGAGGCAGGCGCGCACCCCAGCTCCGGGCTGGGTCTGCCTCTCCCATCAACGGCGTGGCCTTGAGCTAGCTCCACGCTACTTGCAGGGCTCCTGTGTCTGCACATGAAAAGCAAAGAGAATAGAGTCAATACCTAGATGCGATGGGCACTGGGAAAGCAGAAGCAGGAAGCAGCAGCAAGCAATATTCAATTGCAACAGGATTGTTTTTGCAGCAATGGTTGGGAAAGCACAAGAACAGGTGAATGCGTGTGGTTTAGAGTGATGTGTGTGTGCGGGAGAAGGAGAGAGGATAGGGTGTGTACCCCAAGGTCCCCTCGCCTGACGCCCCTCGTGTTCAGTCAGAACCTTGTGGCACCGCGATGAGTGAGTCCAGGCGCTCACGGGTTATGGGGGCACAGGGATGGGGACCACGCGTGTGATGGCAGTGGACACGGGGCCCTGGACAGGCAGGGGGAATACAGGCTCCAAACAGACGGAGGCCGAGCCAGAGGCTTCTCCTCCCCAAGCTGACACCCCGCTTCCTTCCATGGGTGGCTGCCCATTGGCTGGAGGACGATGCCCATCCTTGACCCTCACTGCATCGCCCCACCCTTCTGAGCAGCAAGGCCCACCCATGAGCAGCAGAAAGCTGTGGCTCCTGGACAGTTCATCACGAACGAAGACCCGCCTGATCAAAAATAGATGAAGAGACCTAGAAGCATGAACAGACTGGTGAACCTTGGAGGGAAGGCAGGAGAAGGTGGGTGGGAAGAGATCAGCCAATGAACTTGTGTGCATATATGCATAACCATGGTCACAGACAATGGGGTGGGGGGATGGGAGGGGGCTGAAGAGGTTAATGGGGGGTAAAGGAGGACCTATGTAATACTTTCAACAATAAAGATTTAAAAAAAAAAAAGACCTGTAGCAGTGAACTCGGCCCACCCGACCCTCGAGCCCATTCAATTGTTCCTGAAGCCAGTGTTTCTCACCGTTACTCATTCCCTCCGCCTCGCCTTCTCCTCCACTGCTTCCAAATAGATCTGAGTGTGGAATTAGGGACTCGGGACGGGGTGGCAGTGGCTGACCTTGTTTTCCGAATGCTTCTGGTTGACAGAGGTGTAGGGGGCATTGCAAGAGTCCTCAAAGAGTCCCCAGAGATCACGTGCACACACGTTTTGCTCTCTTTCCCTTTAAATCTCAGCCCCCAGAAGCAGCTTGGGGGGGAACTCGGGCTCCTGGGACCGCAGTCCCTGGGGGAGGGACTCCATCTGGGAGTGATTAGCCGGCAGATTTCAGGTAGCTCCCACCACACGTGCAGCCCACATGACACCCCCTAATTCCGTACCCACAGCTCTCCTTCTCCAAACAAACAGCAGCTCCGTTTGCAGAGAAAAGAAAACGCCTTCCTTAGAGGAGCCAGGTCATAACCGGCTCCTCCGCGCCCACCCCCACCCCCACCCCCTATCCCACCGCCCCCGACCACCATTCATTCAGCGGGCAGCCACCCCGAGGCCCCTCCGTGGAAGGCCTGCGCCTTGTGCTTAGAAAAGCAAGCAAGAAAAACGGGAAGAAAAAAATATTTATCGTCGTTGTAT